TTATAATATGTCATACAATTTGTATAATCTATCAAATAAAATTTCTTTAAAATATATGTTGGAAAAGTTTACTAAAGCCCGATTTCTGATACAATTAAACCTCAGTTAAGGTATTTTCATCTTATTAGTGTTGCCATGGTTTAATCGAGATTAAATATGCTTTCAGAAACCCGGCTAAATAATATACTTCTAAGTTAAATAAAAAATATACCGTTTTAGCTCTTCAAAGCTGTTTTTCCTACATCTTTTGTTGTAAAAAAAGTTATTTATCTATTAAATAACCTTAACAACTTTTGCATAATTTTAGTTTCAATATTTAATCAAAATTACTACAAATATTTGAATGCTGTTTTTACATTGAAACAGATGCAAACGATTGTACTAACAGTCTTTGAACTAAACTAATAAAACATAAAATCATAAAATAGTGGATTACATACCGAGGAGGGCGGTGCTTCATTACCAAGCGAAATTTAATGACCAAAGCCATGGTCAGCAATAAGCCGAGGTGGGATGAAGCAACGACCACCGAGGTTTGTATACTATTTTATTTACAATCATCTTTCTTAAAAAACAACAAGTTAATAAAGAATATATTAAATTTCGAAAAACATGACATATAACAGATCCAGTTGGGAAGTTGTCACTTCCTTATCAGTTTTCTGGTTGGAAAGTGACCATTTCCCAACCTGAACCTGTTTGTTAAGTAAAGTTGAAATGTCATATTTTTCAACTTTTCACATGCAAGGTAATTTGATTATTATTACTTTATGATTGTGAATAAACTAAATTGGATAAAACTTTCAGGCTCAGAATATAAATCCTTGTTGTATCAAATAAATGCTTTACAACAGCTGTTAGTACAACCTAATTTTGTAAATTATCTCTCTATTTTAATACCACCTGACACAAGACAAATTAATAAAATTAATGACTCGACGTTAAAATTTAATTGTTTTTTTATTACTTGATGCTAATTAGCCTTTGAAAACAACACGCCACTTTCGTGAAGCTTATTGAAGGTAATGAAAATGCACCATCGTTAAAAAGTTTAAAATGCAAACATTCAGTTTAGAAATAAGCGACGACAGCACACACATTGACAGAAAATGTGCGTAGGTTGGAATTTCGTATCCCGAAAAAGCCACAAACCCAAAAAGTAGAAATTTCCATATAAACAAAACATTGAGAAAAATTGTTAGAAAGTGGCGTTTTTTCTACTTTTTTTGGGCCTGAGGAAACACTCAGCCGATAGATGCGATCGAGCGGATGCGGATACATTCCACAAGGATCCTAATAATTTCACGGCTTTTTCATATTCAAATTATTCTTTTGTGGAGTTAAAAACCGCGCCTTTTTCTTCTACCAGATTGGATTGGTTTCACTTGATATTTCAATATGTAGATTGCATATGTGCGAACCGTTTGTGTTGTAAAATGTAAATGATATTGTGTAGCTGAACGAAAAGAAAAAGAATGCTCTATATTCCCCAACAAAGTCTAATGAAAGTGGGCCATTTCGGGACAAGCATTCCACACAACACAGCGAAACACGTGTTTTGCAATTTGTATTGTTAGACAAATTGAATCAAATCGGAATTTTTTCTGTTTAAAAAAATTATACTAACTTTGAAAAGCAGGGTCAAGGGCCATTAATACAGTCGCAAAAGTTTGTTTCAACGTTGTTTTTGCCAAGCATTATTTTATATACGTTTTTATCACTCCCTCATATTTTTTTGCATAGAGACGTTGATGGATGTATATTAGGTCCGTAAAATTTTTTTTTAGTCATACTTTTCAGAAAAATGTGAAAACTTGGTAGCTCTCAATGGTTGTAACAATTTTTTACAATAAAATACATTAAATATACAATAAACTGCAAATAATTCATTCTTTACTATTCACTAAAATAAATCAAACCAATGCATTAATTTAGTGAAAATGTAAAACTATTTATAAGTTTTATAATGCATTTTCAGCATTCAATTTAGTTCCACGTCCATGTAAAATAAATTTATGGTACAAACGATTTCAATTAATTTTGTAAAAATTTTGCAGTTCATTCTAATTACACACAAATTGTTTACAATAACAAATTCATTAAACTTGTTTCCATCAGAACTTGAATGTGTTGCTTTTTTATTTTTAATGTGGATAATAACTAAAAACAAAGAAGAGCTTTTGTCCTAAAAAAAAAAAATAAATTTCCTTTAGTTATTTAAATTATTATTTAAATCACATACGACTAATTTAATCCTCTGACACTAACCTAGCCTTTGGCCTCATAAAACCTCTGAATCATTTCTCTCGAGTTGCCTAGCGCTGAAAGTTAAAACGTGCTGCTGTCTACTTGGAATTCTGATGTTCTGCATCGTAAATTAAAACGATTTCTGTTCAGTCAACCGCAGAAAAAACTTTTTAAAAAATGAGAAAATTTCGCAAAAAAACTCATAGGACTATAAATCATAACTCGGACTAAATCGAGTTGTCATGTTTTTATTTACGATATAAAAATTTAATCAAAGGAAAATATCAGATAACTTCCACGTAATGAGTACAGTTGTAAATAATGAGTAATAGTAGAGGTGGTCGAGGCAATAAATTCGCTTTTAAAAACCACTGAAAAAACAGCAACGTAGGTATTTGGAAAAACGCACATTAATATCCAACATTCTACAACGTATTTTATAAGTACAAGGTGATTCACGAGGAATAATGAGCCTGACCAAATTTTCGATGCAACCACTATTACTTTTCGCAAGTTGCTTTGCGACAAATGTTGGTTGCATCGAGAATGTGGTCAGGCTCATTATTCCTCGTGAATCACCCTGTATATTTGTCACATTTTGACAATTTTTTTATAAGAATTTCTGAATTTAGCAAAATTTCTGATCCAATTTTGAAGACAACACAAATAATTTTATAGTTTAAAAATCTCCGCCTCGAATTTAAACTACAACCCCGATTTTTAAACCATTTACAGGGTGTCACATGTAAGACTTTCGGGTCTAATATCTAATTCAATCAGTAAAAATACAATTTACTCGACATTTTAACCTAATAAAAAAATTATTAAAGTTAATTCTAAAACAATAGTTTAACGTCTTCAACTACCATTTTGTTCAACTCTAAAAACCTGTGGTAATTGAAACATCTTTAAAATTTTTAGAACCAATGGTGGTACTTTGGAGCATGTTTTATTGTACTGAACTGATTAATTCAATAAATGCAGTTCCTAATAGTATATTATATCACAAGGTAGAAAATAGATTTTTATAGCCGAGCTATTTATTTCCCGAGATGTTACGCATCTCTATATCTATCTCTATATCTATAAAAATCTTCTCTACCGTCTTTTATATGAAATTTTTTTAGGTACTAGCACATTAATTACTCAGAAATACAGCGGTGAAACATTTACCTCGAACGTAACATGTCGTAATTCACAACTACTATTTTTGTTACTTCACTATTACCTACAGTTATTAATTACTTACCTGAGTTATTAACTTAAGTTGGAGGTATTATTTTCTTGTAAATGAGGTTGAGTCATTTTTGTACTTCTGCACAATTAAAGAAATTTTTTCACTTCATGATATGAAATATTTGTTAAAATAACAAACTGCAAAAAGAAGAAAAAATGTGTTAAATCTTGCCTCACTACCGATAGTATTTTAACATGAAATAAACCCAATTGTTGCTTTGACAGTTTTGACATAGAAGGATTAGAGAGTTGAAGATATTCTCATGTTTTTAATGAGGCAGCTTAAGGCTTTTTTACTTAATTTTGTATTAATTTAATCACTAAATAGTTCCGTTAGTACTTGTGATGGTAATAGTTTTCAATAATAATAATAATAATATTCTAGAAATATTTGAACAATGTAATACCCTTTAACATCGGCGTTTAGCCACCTCTATAGCCACCATTATAGCCCTTGGTCTATAATAAAAATGAGTATTGACTACTAGGAAAGAAAAACAATTTCACGACCTTTCGACAAATTAAATGGTATCTTTTACAGCTAGTAGTGAAAAAATTACGTTATTAAACATTTTAACGTTTTTAATTTCGTTAGAGTCCGTTGGCAACTAACAGAGATATTAGATCCGAAAGTCTTAGGTGGGACACCTGTATAAAACTGTTGTTGTCTTAATAGCTATAAAACACAAAGTAATTTGCATATAATATTAACAAATAAATATAAGACCACAGTAAATTAATAAAACACAAACTTAATAGTAGAAATAAATATAAGAATGTTAAAATGAAAAACTCAAGTAATAACATTTAACACGTAAGCGTGATAAAGAGATAACGCTTTCTTGATATTTTTAAAGGAAAAAGGAGAGAACGTATTAAAAGTAGCGTAAACACAAAAATAAGGTAGACTAATTTTACACAAACCAATAATCAATTCAATTAGGAAAACTTGGATTCAATTTCGATACAAGAAGTTATAATGGAACTAGTCATGTATAATATTATTGCAAGTGGATATAATAATGTTATTCCTCGTTAATTGGAAATGTGTGGTCTATAAATAGAGCAGTTATTAACAAACTGCGCATTTACGAGTCATATCAAAAATAGTATAATTTTAGGGGTTGTGAATAGTGACTGGCCAGCGAAAATGATTTTTTTGTTATAAAAGTGAAATTATGTTTGTTTCTTTGGTGCTGTGTTCTATGGAATGAAGTTGTGAAAGTTTGTCGTGTGTTTTGGTGTAGCCGTGACGCTCGACCGCACGAATATCCTTGTGGAAACTGGCAAGCACGTGACTCGAAGCAGGCCCAAGAACCAAATAAAGTTTGACTCACCCTGAAACTCCTTGCGAGCGGCGGAAACTGAGGTTACGATGTTAGCGACGTGACCCAATACTGTGGCGAAGAGTAGAAGCCCGAACAACAGCTGGAAGATGACGAAAAGATACTCCCCCTTGTTCCTAGGCCTGGGCAAGTCCCCAATGGTCGTCAACGCTAGCGTGCACCAGTAATAACTCTGCAAATACGCTTTCACGTAATCCGTACTATCCGAGTCACTGTACACCCAGTTTTTAGAGCCGAAGCCGTCGTTTTTTAAAATGATATGGAACAAACAGCCGTTCCAATGGAATATAACTAGGAGGTAGTGGATGAGGCTGGTGGATCTGAACAAGTTCGGGTAGTTCGTGTGGCGTTCGGTGCGATCCATGAACGCCCAAAATCGGTAGATTTTCACTAAACGGAACGAACGCAAAATCGAGTTGAAACCCACGGATAAGTACAGGAAGTCGAGAGGCAACAGGCACAAACAGTCTATGTAGAACGTGGTGGAATTCATGTAGTGGTGTCGCAGTTTCGTCGAATCGGTTTGCAACACGCCGTCCTCCAGGTAGCCGGTCCGGAAATGGAACATGATGTCCACCAAGTAGAGGAAGTCTGCGAAGTAGTCCAAGCAGAACCACACGAGGATAGTGTTCGCTGCAAAAAACTCACTTTTCAACTCTACATTGCGGAAAATATTAATTCAAGCTAAATTACGCTTGAAGAAACGCTTAACCGCTTCAAAGTTGTTTTATGTAATAGTTTGCATGTGATAGCCAACATTTAATGGAAGTTCAAATCTGTTTATGATTTATAAGAGCAATTTTCGCTTTGCTAATGTGCAACTAAAATGTGGTTTACTCGCATTGTTAAGTAGTATTTAGGTCATTTTTGCTTTCGTTTATTGCACGAATAATGTTTTTTAAAAACTCCAAAAAAACAAAACGCAATATTTCTATTTCATTTTCACTCTTCTCTTGATTTGTTTTTGTCCCCGGACGAAAATAGTTTGTTATTAACGTCATAAGGCCGACACGTAACAAATAACAGATGAGGTTGAATTTTGTAAATTGAGACGAAAACGAGAGAAATAAATTCGAAAAAAATTACGAAAAAAATAAATTGTATAGTATATCACTAATAAGTAAGAGAACTCATCCTCGATCGTGGCCAAACTCTTTGCTTAATTTGTACGTTTTTCACAATTCAAGAGAAGAGCGACTTTTTTCCGTTCGGAAATTTAACTGATTTCAGTATTATGATATGCAATTTCTATTTTTAATTTTTTGTCATTTTCTTAATAAAGTAGTAGGATCCATTTTTTTTTATTGATATATGTACCTATTTGTTATAATTATTCCTTTCGAATTGTTTGCATTTCATTTTCTATCGGTAGACCTTCAAAACATTTTATATAAATCGATTAAAAAGCTTTTTTTCATTTCATATACAGCGTGTCAATTTTAAAATATGTAATCGACAATAAACCGTTTCGGTGGTTTCTAGGGGGAATCAAAATGACATGGTAAGTGACGCACCTCCCCCACCCTTAAAGCCACAGCCATCTCAAGTTGAATATTTTAAATGGCACTACCCTACTTGTGATACATAAGCATAAGCTCATAACAAGCGCTTTTTAAAAATGTCATAACAGCCTATTTAGTAAAGTCGTTTTTCCAATTATTTAAAAACAAAGACTTTAAATTTTCACTTTTTTTTATTATATTCAAAGGTGGGTGGAGGTGCGTCACTTACAGTGATGGACAGTGAATTTCGTCCACCCAATTTCCTTGACAGATTAAAAGTGTAAATTAGTCTTTAGGTTTTACTAACCTTGTTTCAGAATTTTGATTAACGTTTGTCATGTTGACAGAAGGCTCGATAATTCTTGCTACTTTTTACCTTTGTCCTTTGAAATGGTAGTCCTTGGTATGCTCAAAAGTAGGGAGATACGTCTTTGAGAAATACCTTCTTATACCAGAGAGATAATTTTTATTTTATTAAACGCACTTACTGCTGGCATGTTCGAATTTGATTAAATTTGACAATACGTATTTGAATGTCAGTCAACCTGACAATAAAGCACAAACTACATTGAATTTTTGTGAATTCACAGAAATTGGGTGGACGAAATTCACTGTCCATCACTGTACCATGTCATTCCCCCTAGGAACCACGAAAACCGTTCTGATTGATTCTCAATAACTTTTTCAGTTGATCGATATTGCCGATTGCAAGTTTTAAAATTGACATAGTGTATGTACATATCTACCTTTCTGAAGAAATGCGAAACTTTTCTAATCAAGTTCAAACTAAGGATAATTTTTGGAACTCTTCATCAGTCCAAAAGGTAGTTAGTAAATTAACTGATTAAAACATAATTAGCGCTCTGCGCTACCACTGTCTCATCTTCACCGGCGTAGTCGCTTTAAGACTCCCGAGGCCACATCARACATCGAGCTACACTGCACTGATGAGCCCCAAAAGGGCGAAACCGGTCTGCAGTTTGCTCGATGGATGATGTTGTGCCTCTTTTTCACCTCTTATTAATTAAAAAAATTTCGCCACCATAGTAACTAATTTTATTTTTTTGTCCGGAAAAACTGTTTTTGGGGACTGAGAACCTAAAATAACCATTTTGCGTATTATTTTATTGAGTTCGAAAAAGACTCATTTTAGGGACTCATTTGAGTCCCTAAAACAGCTGTTTTCGGGAGCGTATACAAAAAAAACCTTTAATTTAGTTTTTCTTAATTATTTAATTTATAATAAACTTCTTTTTGACTATACTGCGATTAAGCTTATAGTCCTAAAGTTTGAACTTGTTTCTTTAAAGTAGTAAAAGTTTTATTTTTATAGTATTCTTAGAGTATATTTCTGTCAAAGAAATCAAATAATTTCAAAAATAAAGTGGGTAAAACTGACCAGTTATTTGCATTAAAGCAAAAAATGTAGTTTGTTTCATTGAAAAAGGAACATAAAGCTTAAAGGTATTATACTCGTACCTAGCAGCTCATTTCTGAGACATCATGTATCTATGAATTTTGTCTAGGTACAATTGTATAAATATTTTAACAACGAAAGAGTAATGATAAACTCGCTGGGACACTTTGTATGAAAAAATAATTTTTGAAAACTTACAAGGTGAATTCAAGTGTGAAAAAGAGGCACAACATCATACATCGAGCAAACTGCAGACCGGTTTCGCCCTTTTGGGGCTCATCAGTGCAGTGTAGCTCGATGTGTGATGTGGCCTCGGGAGTCTTAAAGCGACTACGCCGGTGAAGATG